AGGTGAGAGTCTTACACTGTACACAGGCTATGGGAAGAACTTAAAGTCACAGTTCAGACAATAATGATCCGTTAATGAATAATTAAAAATGTTGTTTTAAGCACCATGGTGCTCTGCATTTAGCTTAGGTCAATTTTCAGGTTAAATATTTAGCAGGGTTGATAGAAAAGATTACTGTATGAGTTTGTTCTCACGGTTAGGAATGCATACCAGTCATTACTCTTACATCTGGCCATGCCTTTGTTTTTATGCGCATGACATTCATTACTCAAAGGGCTGTTGATGGAAGATGCAGAAAAGTATTCAGGGCGTGTGACTGTGTGAAATGACTGGCACGATATCAGCAATTGTGATGAACTAGGGGCTCTGCGTGACGGCGAGACGTGTTGTTTTCTCGCAGCTTCTGTCATCAATGAAAGTCATAATTATTAGTACAGATGACAGCGAAGACTTTGACCTTTTCAGAAACATAAGGTGTGAGACGTGATGATGTCCTTTTGATTCCAATGAGAATTTAATGATGTGTTGTTCCAGGATGCATGGTAAAGTCATACCAAGTTCACTCCTGAGTTTATTACTTATGTGTGTCCACTTTGACGTTACTGACCATGCTCCATTTGTATTAGTTTCACTTCTTTGGGCATTTATAGTCACAGGATACAGTAATACTATATCAGAAAGCCACATTGTTACTTTAGTTTTGTCCATCAAACTATTCTGTAGCCTAATAAAAGCTCACACTGTGTCCCCCTTTTCTCCGGTCAGACACAACCTCAGTAGCGGAGACTCGCCTCAACAACGCCAGCCTCGGCGATGGTGCGAGTGTTGGTGGTCTGACGGGCCTGAGCCTCAGTGTGAGCGGAAGCAACATGGAGCGCTGCGGCGTAAGTTCCACCCAGCGGGATAACATGAGTGACAATGCCAGCACCACAGCCCTCGCTGGGACCAGCATCACCGGAAGCCTCTCGGGCAGCTGCTACAACCGGTAAATGGACTGGACTGATTGTGTGATAAGCACGCCCAGATGAGCCCAAACAGAACACTGTCTGAGGGAAAATCCAATAGCTATTCTAAATTGGTCGTACTTGTGAATGGGTGTCTGTTGGCCCTGTTAATGGACTCCACTTCTCGCTGACAGCTGATGAAAGCTGTGATAGGGTTCAGCTCCCCTTCTCGTGACCCTAAATTGAATATAAGGGGTTAAGAAAACAGACAGATGAATTAAAATTAACCCTTAACTGCCTAAATTTCCTTAACTCCATTCTTTAACTCAGCAGTGCACTCAAAATAAAAGCTATGAGACGTCATTCTTTACTTTCATCACTTAAAAGAAAAAAGCATGTTAGTCTTTTTTTTTTCTTTTCTTTGTATTATTTTCTCTTCATCGTAGAAATTTTGCACTTCTATGTGAGTGGCAAATGGTGCAGTCGCACAATGTTATCAGTGTCTGTGTAGCTTAGAGCTTTCCAAGCTCCTTAGACCATTTTATCAGTGTTAAATGTTTTAGGACTGAAACTACATCGATGGGCTTGTTGTTCACTTGTCAACTGGACTTTCTAGTTGTTTTGACTGCTTTTACTTTTCCAGGATGGAAGTCCAGGCCGACGTCCAGAAGGAACGCTGCAGCCTTAGTGGGGAGTCTGCCACAGTCAGTCTGGGGACGATGAGCGACAACGCAAGCACAAAAGCCATGGCGGGGTCCATCCTCAACGCCTACATGTCTCTGGAAAGGTCAGCACTCAGATTATACACATCCTCCTTGTTCCAGTAGGAATTTGGTGACCTAGATTTGTTAGACTTGTAGGCAGCTGCCCTATGATCCAATAAGTTAAATGTAGGTGATTTGATTTTGCAGAGACAACAGTCTGGAGGTGCAGGCAGACGTGGAGTCTAAGCAGGAGAAGGTGAGACACGGAAGCGCCAGCAGCAGCCTGGATGAAGCCAGCTGTAGTAGCAGCTCTGCTGGCCTGAAAGGAGCTACGTGCTCGTGTCCCTCCACCTGTCGCTGTGCTCAGCAAGCCAACCACTCCTGCCCCTGCCCGCCGTGGTCAAAGGATGCCTCCACCTCTGGGGTCAAAACGAGCAAGGGCAAGCGTTGGAAAAAAGCCAGCAGCATCAGCAAAGGAGAGGCAAAAGTTAACGAGATCCAAACAGACATGGACACTCAGCTTCTGGAGCAGCGCAGCACTAATTCCTCAGAGTTCGATTCTCCGTCCCTGAGCGGCAGCCTTCCTTCTGTGGCTGAGTCGCACTGTAGCCACTTCTCATCTGAGCTCAGCTGCTCAGACCCCGAGACCTCGAGACCGGCTCCTGCACCCTGCTCTCCCCCGATGGACGCCCACCCTCATAATCCCATCAGCGCCTTCAGTGACGTCACCATCACGCCCATGCCAGAGGTGGAACACGACCGCCTTGAGCACTTCCCGCCTCAGATTAGCCACTCAGCCTTCACCTGCCGCGTGCTGTCTTCATCTCCACCTGCTTCGCCAAAAGAGGGAAGTAGCGGGACGTTTCTGTACATCAGCGAGGAGAGTGTTGGTGACACAGAGCCAGAGAAGGATGAGAGCTTGAAGGAGACCATTTGCAGCGCTGTGCAGCCTGTAAACCAAACAAGAAAACGCTGTATACAAACGGACATCTAAAGGAGCTCTTTAGGCATGATACTGCACAAACACAGGAAGCTCAGTTAGCCTTATCACCCAGTGCCACTGTTAAACGCAGGCACCGTCCCTACCCTCCATGCATCTTGGGAAGCTGGTGATCAAGATTAAGGCTATAAATGAATTATATATATATATATATTTTTAGAAATATCTGAATGTCAGGGTTGAGGTTTAAGTCAGAGATGGACAGAGAGGGATGGATTTCAGGAGCAACAAGAACATGACCAGATGTGTGACATCTAAGCGAGATGTTAAAGCACCCAGCGGTGCTTCAAGGCCTATAGTAAGTAGAGTTGCATGTACGGGGACAGGTGTGTAAAGCAAGTTATCAGGTGGTGCAGAAGGTCCAGCTTTCATGATGATCTGCAAACTCTTTTCAGTCCTGGTGGGTTTTCCAAATCCCACAAACCAGATTTGACCCTTTCCCTCCCCAAAAAAGAAAAGAAGCAGAACTGAAAAAGCCGGATAAGAGCAAATAAAATGTCTTGACAAAACTGAGCTGCTATAAAGAAAAAAATCCACACCAACTTCTCCTTGAGCACATTAGCAAAAAAGAAAAAAAAAAAACGAGCAAAAACCAGAGGGATGTGTCCCCGCTGTGGTCCACCACCAGCTCTTTCTGTGAATTCTTTAAATGGCAGCGAGAAACGCCATAGTCGGAGAGGAGCGTGGAGGCGTCTGCCAAGCATTTACACTTTAGAGGGACCAGCTATTCACCTGCAGATTTTATGGTCTGCAATCATATATAAGAAAAATATTATCTTTGCTTTTTGTTTAAAACGTGATTCCTGTCATGTGTTTGCTTATTTTATTTTCCATTTTGGGAAAGTTGGTTTTAATGTTGAAGCCCTGTGTTGGGTCCAACTGTTTATTATAAGCGGGTGGGAACTGTGATATCAGAAATACTCAAATACTCATCCCTTCAGCTCTCCTTTTTTATTTCTTGTTGTTTTGGTTGCACCTGTGCAGATATAAAAACCTTCACTGCAAGCTTTGAATTGAATCGTGCGGCGTATTTAAGAAAAGGGATTTTTAAGCTGTTCCTTGTAAACAAAACAAAGCAGATCCCAACATTTCAACAAGCATTTCAGACTTGTTTTAAAACTAGAACTACTAGAAGTACCCACGCAGTAAGAACAAGCGTGTCAGGCACACCGCAGCAAGTTGCAGTCAGAAGTTTATCCGAGCACATAAATCTTAATCAGTATTCAGTAGCGAATGTACAGTAGTAATGTTAAATTGTTTTCCCCTCATATAAATCAAAAAGCTATTTTTTATTCAGAGCTTTGGGTGTATTTTAACTACAACATGTTCTTGTGATGTTTCTGAAGACCTTGCAAATGATTAATGCAGATAATTTTATAATTATTGAACCTACAGTGCCTTTCGGGGGAGGGGGGGGGGTTATTGTGTTTTGTTTTTGTTCTCTGTGTGTTTCATCAAATGATAAATGTAAAAACAATTTGATAGTTATTATATTTGCCACATAAAATGCACCAATACTTGATAAACACCATTCCCAGAATGCTAATGCAGACTGTCGCAGTAGCTGGTGTTAACTACCAAAGAGCCGCTCTCAGGCCGCTGCAGTGGACACGTCAACAGTGACAGAATAATTTTTTTTTAAGCAATCTACTTTAGTGCGTAGAAATTGAAAATCAGAGCAATAAAATATTGGATTAAACCCAGTACTCACAACCAAAATGTTTATCTGAATTTAAATCGTTGTTAGGATTATTTGTTTTTAATATTCCCCTGAAGTAGCCAAAGTTTTTAAAGTTTATGTCATGCACAAGTTGGCAATAAGATCCCTTTAATCCAAAGCAGTCGGCATCATGAGTATCGTGAGCAAAGTGACACTACAGGCTACGGTAGCTTTCAGCAGCTGGAGCACATTTTCAGCCCGACCACAGATTGCTCCTCTGTGACGTCAGGCAGCTCGTGGTGAGCTGGCTATCTGCTAAAAATAAATAAATAAATAAAATGTTTTGGTAAACCTCACAAGCCTCTAGCTGCAGGTTATTCCCTCCGTTTTGTAACCTACCTGCTGCTGAAAATGATACAACTTCAGAGTCAAATAGATCCTCCGAAGTTTTATTATTTGGAGACGAGTGGCAGGTGTGTTTTCTAATTGGGTCAGATAAGCTTATGATATTTTAAGAAGTATGTATTACCTAATTATTTGCTTTATAATGTGCATGCAAATGCATATCGTTTAATAAACTTCACAATCAAGCTTGCTGTGATCGTTTTGTGTTCATTTATTCGTGTTTCCATTTGAAAAAACACAAAGGCACATTAATGCATTCTTGTAGCAGTTTATTTACATTTGCATTCAGTCTATTTACATACAGTACATGCTTTTACATTCATGAATGAAGCTTTACATCAAGATTTTTTTTTTAAGATAAGCCTTTTATTTTTACAACACAAAGGAAAACAAGACTGGAAAAACTAACCTAATATTTTTATACTTGCAAAATAAACTGTGGCACAGTTTGCTACATTTTAAAGAAATGCATAGCGGATGTGGGTGATTTCAAAAGCTTCTGCTCCTGTGGAGAGTTGACAGAGGTGATAAATTATGTTTGCAAAGCTTGGTAAGCATCTAATTTGTCCTTTTCAAACGTGTGTAAAAGTACATTTCAGCCTGCACACAAACGCAGGCTGAAATGTGGGAGAATGACAAGCCTGAGGGTGGAAGCTGAAAAGTGACTTTCCATGGAAGCCTTTTCTGCCAAAGAAAATTTACGGTACATTAGTCAAAATTTTCGTTTAAGTCCTATTAACTCAATTAATTACTTGAAACTGGGGAGGGGAGGGGGGGGGTGAGATAACAGGTAAATAATTGAGATATATGAAGCTTTTTTTTGTTTTTATTCAGAGCTTCTCCCCCCCCAAAATTGGTGGAAACAAGCTTTCAATTTGCAAGCATTGCTGCTTTCTCTTATAGGCTAGGCTCCCAACTCAAACGAGTTGTTGATGTTTTTACTTAAATAAAGTACATTTGTATCACTATAATAAATAATTTTCTTGTAATATGACAGTTTTTGATAAATATATCTGGGTGTTTAATCAGAGCCTTATCGGGGGTCTTGTTGCAGCAATAAGGGCACAGACATGCGGACATTAGCTTTAATTTAACTACTATATACCTACACAAAAACAAAACAGTCATTAATTACATTAATTACTGAACTACAGTACAGTGCAGTAAAGAGTTTACTGTAACAGTGCATTGTTCTGTAAACTGTAACACTAACCTAAGCAGGGCGATATTTAAACCCAGAGAGGTACGTGAACTAAAAGTCGCTTAAAAGGGACTTTTAGTTCATGTCCCACTCACTCAAAATTTTTATTCAACTTTATTTGATTTGCAGTTAAGTGACCGTTATGTATCTTATTGGTCTTTTATCGTCTGTCTGAAACAAGTCTTTTTAGTTTCTGTTTCTTTAAGGCCCCCCCCCCCTCCCCCTCACTATAAGCCCAAATTCTGATTGGCTGCCCTTCGACTTGCTTCTAAACAGAACCCAGTGCTTGTTAGCTCCGCCTCCTTATTCAGGCATAGCTAGAGCTGATTGACCATATAAGGAAGGGTATTCGGCGCTGACATCAGCTCAGCGCTAGTGTTAAACACAACACAATGATTACTTTATAAAAGATGATGTAATTTTTTGAAACAGTGGTAATATGAAATTCCAGCAGCATTTATCAGGCATGAAATAAAGAAAAGTATCATGGGTCCACTCTAAAGTGCTGACCTCAGACTTTTTCTTTTAGCTAATCTAACCGGTGAAGCTTAAATTCATGTTAGTGCCTTTTAGGGCACTTCCCAACACTAGTGATGATAGTTTATGTGATGTTGTTGGCTTCTTGTTTAAATTAATAGCAGCTCTTATCACACTACATGTAAACAATAACAAACGCTTTGGAATAAAATAGCTGAAGCTTTCATATCTTGCTGTGCAACACACAAACACACACTGCCTGCACTGCACTGATCCATTCCTTTCAAAGCAGATTTAAAAAAAAACGCAATCAAAATTAAACATTTAATCTTGGCGCATTTCATCCTAACTGTGGTAAAAAATCTCAGTAAGGCACGCTTGATACGCACTCTCTTTCCCCTCTCTCAACACTCTTTAACAAGTAAGAGTGCTCTGGAGCCTGTTACATGAAACTGGACATTACATCATAACGTGAATGATTTATAGTGCGAGCGGGTCACAAGTACCTTGACATTAGCCTCTTTAAATAAAGCTTACCGTTATGTAAGCTTGTGTACTCAGGAGTTACGTGTGGTTCGCACACATTGCAGATGAAGCAGAGCTGAAAAGCTGGTCGTCCACGGTTCTCGTCCCAGGAGTTCAAAAATAGTCATTTGCATTTCTACGCTGCTTACTTGCTGTAGCCGATTGCTTTAAAAGTCCTGCAGCAGTATGGTAAGTGTCCACACCTGTCTCCACATGTGAACCAGCAGGAGACATCAAACCTGCAGGAAATCATCAAAGGTTAGCCTTTTCTATGGGGTTTTGTTTGTCTTAATAGTTTGTAACATACTTGAAGCCTTATCTGGAGATAATAAAGTGGTAAAGCCATGTTCCTAACTAATTGGAGACGTTACAAACACATATGGGATATGTCTGGATCCAGACTTGGAGGCTTGTCAACTACAGTGATTAAAGCATCCCATACTTGTTTACCAAGTATCAGCTGCCGTACCAGCAGAACAGTTTCTTTCTTCAGGTTTCAAAACCGTCAAATTCATCCTCCACACTCTTCTTCTTCTTTAGTTTGTTCCCTTCAGGGTTCACCACAGCAGATCACCTGCCTCCATCTCACCCTGTCTCTAGTATCCTCCTCTGTCCTACCAGCCCTCTGGACGTCCTGCTTCTCTACATCCTTGAACCTCCTTTGTGGTCTTTCTCTTTTCATCCTGCCTGAAAGCTCCATATTCCACATCCTTTATCCAATATATCCACTATCCCTCCTCTGGAGATGTCCAAAACATCTCAGCCTCACCATTCAAACTTTGTCTCCAACCCGCTCAGCCTGAGCTGTCCCTCTGATGCACTCTACTCTTTCTAATCCTGTTCATTGTGGTCACTCGCAATGAATAGCTTATCATCACCTCGAGCTCCACTTCCTGCCATTGCCACTGTCTCCATATCATCTAAACCTCCCTTTTTGCTGTTGCTCCTTGTCACGTTCCCTAACAGTCCGAGGGATGTGAGGAAAATAACGAAGCATGTCCAGATTGAAAAACTGAGACAAGTAGGCAAACGAATAAAGCAAAGGTTTTTATTAACAAGTAAAATGAAAGAGGCAAATGTGCCGCTATCACCTTTAAAGGAAAAGAAGCATAACAAAGCAAGTTAAAAAGGTTAAATCTCCCAAAACACCCTCCTCTGACACTCATCTCCACCCGCTCCACTCTGCCTGCAGCCTTGCTTTGGACAGTTCACCCCAGGTATTTAATCTCACCCACCTTCACTACCTCTCCTCCTTGCATAAAGGGACTGAACTTCCAGTATAGTTTTATAACCTTGTGTTGCATAATGACAACTACAATGAAAATTAAATCTAGTAATTGAGGGGCTTAAGGCGACATGATGAACTTGTTTTACCCTTGGTGTGTGCACGGTGTTGTCCATCAGGCTCTGTCTCAGCAAGCCCGTCACCACCTCGAGCTCCTGCTCCGCCTCCCGGACGTTTGGGTCCAGTCGGAGGACTTCCTGGAGGTCACTGCTAGCTGAAAGGTAGTCCTAGAGGATAGTCATTCATACAGAGAAATCAGGAATGGGAGGGGGAAGAAAAATCCAACGCATTATCTTAAAATGACAAGGAAGAGGTTTATGAGGGGGCGTGCCGGCACCTGTAAACCTTTAAAAGCCAGGGCTCGTCTGTAGAAGGCTTTCTTGTTGTTCGGCTCCAGGTGCAGCGCCGAATCGCAGTCCTGCCGGGCCTCTTCGAACCGATTCAGTTTCAGGAGACAGATGGCTCTGGAGGAGAAGTAAAGGATTTGTCAGACGGTCTCTGTCAGTGATGATCAGTATGAGGATCAGGCTACGCATGGTTAGATTACTCCACACTGTTTCAAATACAAATGAAAAATCTTCAAAATATGCACCATAGAAGAGTAGGGACAGATGCATTTTCCCCAACATTTCGCACAATATCTTGTTAATATAGAGATTTTTGCAGGATGTAATATTTACAGGGAATCCACATGTGTCCAGCAGTTTAGGCTTTCATGTTTGCAACACAATATTTCATCTGAAATTCCTTTCAAATATACCGATACACCTTCATGGGGCTTTATCCAGAGCAACAACTGGCAGTGCATCAGATTTGACATGCCAGGTGGTCATATGGTGCCCTCTACTGTTCCCCCTGTCTACCTGTAAATGGAGAATTAGCTCTGAGCTCTGCATCGCTCCCTACCGCGAGAGGCCATTTTTCTGTGCTGACAAAGTAAGATCAAAACATGCAGTTTCATTGAAAACTTGTGACACTGACGAGCAACTGGGGGAATGTGAAGGTGAAGAACGACTCTCATTTAAGCCTTTGCTGCAAGAGTAGAGAAACTGGCATTATTTCAGCGGATTTTTACACAATATTTGAGCTGAAGCTTCTTACTTGATGTAGGCAGCTATTCTGTTATTTTTTGGGGGGTGGTGATCAAACTACCCACCTTTCAAACAGTGTTTCTTTTGTAAAGTAATTCAGGCGCTCTTGTTACAAAGACCAGTCAATTCTAGCGTCTGTTTGGGTTGTTTTTCATACCTGTTTGTGTGGAGCGCACATTCGTCAGGTTTTATGGCGAGACATTCACTGTACTTCTCCAGGGCCTCCTGGAAGTGGCCTTTCTTGACCAGACTGTTGCCTTCCTGTTTAAGCAAAGTGAAGTGGGCTTCTTTTCTTCTGGCTGTTGGCAGAAAAATGTTTTTTTTTTCCAACTGAAAAAGATAACTTCATAAAGAGTTCATTTTCTTCAGTGCAAGTTATTGATTGGTTAGACAGATCTGGGGCAGACTGTACTGAATGGTTTGTCTTTCAACAATCCTCTGCTACAATTTCTTCACACCGTTTCAGGCCTTAATAAATCCAGCCTGTCGGCAGCAGTCTCTGTGGACCAGCGGAGATGAGTCAACTCCTCCTTAGTTAGCGATCGGCTGTGCTGAAAAAGCCAATGCGGCTAATGAGTTGTGGAAAAGACACACGCAGCGGTACTTAAACATAAACACAGACTCACAGGTACACAAAAAGATAACATTAATCAAATGACACAGCTACTAATGCCAACTCTCGAAAAAACGAGCTCAGCAGGCATTAAACGTAATATACACTTACTAGCCTCTGGATTAGGTACACCTGTTCAACTTCTCTTTAACAAAATTATCTAATCAGCCAATCACATGGCAGCAACTCAGTGCATTTAGGTATTTAGATGTGGTTAAGACGGCCTGCTGAAATTCAAACTAAGATTCGATACAGAAAACAAAGGTGATGTGAGTGATTTTCTGTCTGAGTATTTCTGAAACTGTTGGCCAGCTGGGATTTCCCCCCACAAACATCTCTAGAGTTTTTGGACAATGGTCAAAGAAAACAGAGAAAACATCTACTGAGCCAAAGTTCTCTGGAGAAAATGCCTGTTGATGTCAGAAGTCAGAGGAGAATGCTTCAGGCTGAAAGGAAGGGAACAGTAACTCAGATAACCACTTGTCTCAACCAAGTCATGCAGACGAGCATCTCTAAATGCACAACAAATGAGGAACCTGAAGCAGACGGGCCTCAGAAACAGAAGAGCACACCTCCTGTCAGCTAAAAACAGGAAACTGAAGCTACAGTTCATACTGGCTCACATAAATTGGACGACAGACTGGAGAAATGCTGTCTGGTCTGATGAGTAACGATTATTGCTGCAACATTCACATGTCAGGGTCAGAATTTGGCAAAAATACATGAAAGCATTGAATCAATCCCACCTTATATCAACAGTTCAGGAGGTCCAACCCAGTAATAACAATGTATAACTAATAAAGTGTTCAGACAGAGTTACTTTAGAAAGCATTCAGGCCCAAAGCACTATAAAACTACTGAATTAAAAAGCCTGAACCAGCTTTTGAAACTCTTTTTCATTTTTCTCTACCAAGAAAATTCTACTTTCATCCATTTACAATTGAACCAAAGCACAAAGTGAAAAGGCCTGCATGCTTCCTGAAGCAGCTCGGTGCTGAAAGCTTATTTTTTTCCTTTAGCTGAGACGTCCGTCGATACCACAAACCACTCAGTCTGACTCTCTGTATCAGAGCTGCTCTGTTGCTGGGAAACTAAATTGATATGTGGAGCATGAGTATTTGAGATCAATCACCTCTGAAGCTGATACAAGCTGGGAGTCAAGCTGTAAGGAGATAATTTAACAGATACAATCTAATAACATTACCAATAACACAGTCAAAACAGACGCGCTGGCACCGGCGCTGAAGCGTAGTGGCAGGTTAGGAGGTTTCGGGGCTGTGGGGGAATAATAACACAAGCTTGTGCAATCTTTGATTACAGGGTTATTTTGATGCTAGCTTGCTGTAGAGGTTGTGTTTAATTCTTTTCAATCCCAGCATCAATAGATATGTAATTTCCTCTGGCGGATAACACAGCTGTGTTTGCAAATGCCGAGAGAGCAATAGCTTTAATCATCGCCACTAACGCTAGCTCAACTAATAAATGCAATGCTCATTTAACTTGTGTTGTTGCAATTAAAGGCATATTAACATATTAATGAACTCGAGGCTTCATTAAGTCTAATTGTTTTAACGGATAAAATTATAATTGTCAGAATTTTAATTCATTTTAACTCTTTTATTAAGGAGCACAGTTTGGTGTTGTTTTGTGTTGCGTGTTTGCGGTTTTATTTCCTGTTTTGGGGAAATCAACATGAAGACAGAAACAACACAAACGTGAGTTTATGAATGAATGAATGAATTGAACATTTGAGACACTCAGATTGACTTGTTGTATTAGAGAATTGTAGATGTACACAAACAACTGCAGATTCTAAGATCATCAGTCCAATTTTACATAAGTACAAGTTATTCAGATGTGTCACAACTTTGCTAATGTCCGGAAGAAGACCCAAACTGTCACCCTCATATGAGAGGAAATTGATTTGAATGTTCAGGAACCAACAAGGCTCAAGCCATGAACTGGAAGCTACTGGGACACCAGCATCACTGTCCACAGTGAAGTCAGTTTTACACCATACACTGAGATGGTGCTGATCACAAAAGAAGCCTCTGCTCCAAAATCGACGCCATCAAATTTGCAAACTCCTTCTGGAGAAAAGTTTAATGGTCAGATGAGACAAATATTAAACTATTTGGCCTCAATGGTAAGAAGTATGTTTGGAGGAATAAAGGTGAGGCTTTCAAGCCTAAGAAGACTGCACTAGCTGTCAAGCATGGTGGTGGTAGCATCATGCTATGAGGCTGTTTTGCTGCCAATGGTATTGTTGGATGGAAAAATGAAGAAGGAGGACTACCTCCAAATTCTTCAACTTCACCACAGCAGTTGGATGTTTGAAACCTGAACACATTTGCGTGTTCCAACAGGACAATGATCCCGTTCCCATTATGAATGGATAAAGCAGGCTAACATTAAACTTCAACCCCGCTGAAACTTTGTGTAATACACGTCAAAGCTGGTGCTGAGCCAGAAAACCAACTAATTTAAATTAAGTTTTCTGCCATTACAATCACTCAAATATCTACCCAGAATTATTCCAGAAGCTTGCTGATGGCTACCAAAGACATCTTGTCAAGGTGCAACTTGCTAAAGGACATGTAACCACATATTAATGGGGCTGTATGTATATATACTGCTGACCTTGTTTGGATCAGAGAAAATTCAAAATAAATTCAAACCAATCCAATCACCCAATCCTTATCTTTTAAAGACATTATGATGTGTGCAGTACAATCATTCCACCCTGGAAAAAGAAACGTTCAATGAACTCATTAAAACCTCAAAGTTAGCACCACATTCTTGCTCATAATGAGCAGATGTGAACTTCTGGCCACAACTTTATTTTACCACAGTTTATAATAACTTAAGATGCTGTCTTACATTTCTTATTGTTGGCATGGCGTCATTCCTCCTCAGTAAGATGGAACAAAATGCATTACTGTAGGAGGTAGTGATTAACAGTGCTGCGTATTCGCTGTGACAAATTTAAGCAGCACACATGTTGCTTTTAACACTTACAACTTCGATCACTTCCTGTCTCCTTCTGTTTCTGGCTTCATATTCATTCAGCTTTGTATGTGTTAGATCGTGTGTTTGGAGTTTTTCATTAGACAAGTACAAGTAAACAGATTTATCTGTTGGTGTTGTTGTGGGTTTTACAGCCTTATACTGCTCCAAAACTATTTACATATATTTGCATTTATGGCACATTTGGAGTCTCCTGGTTCTTGTGAGCAGTTCGAGCGCAGAGGAAACTTGACCTGGATTGTTCCATTACAGCAGCACTATAGTCTGTGTGGATCGTCTTTACTTTGCATTATTGATAGTACACCCAGACAAACACACACACACACACACACATACAGAGTCTCTCAGCTGGAGCACCTTCACCACTACTCAGCATTTGCACGCTGATTCTGCTCACTGACTTCTGCTGCTGCTATATGGTTCAATTATTTACTGTTTCTTTTAAAAATGCTACGTGAATGAAATCACCCAAAGAACTGTCTTTAGTCAAGAAAATCTGGATTTCTTTAAAAGGCTTCTTTGTTTGCATCAGATGTGCTCATCACATTTAACCACTTAAACCCACAGGAATGGTTGTACCTCACCTTCCTCCTGGGCTGCTCTGGCGGCCCTGGCCTGGGCCTGCTCGATGCTGATTGGTTTCTCTCGGTGTTGCAACTGCACAGACAGGGGGACGACGGGAATCTCTGGAAGCTTCTGTCTCCACTCGGGTCCATCCTGCTCAATCAGCATCTTTGTGAGCCTGTCAGAGAACAAAGAGACTGAAACTAGTATCGCAAAGTGTTTCGCATTAGCAAGACTCGCGCAGGGACCCAAAGGGAAACTGGAATGACTGAGACGACTTGGTGTTACATAAAATCTGACTAAACATGCACCAGCACATGAAGCGGCTGAAGTTTCCCGTGTTTGGATTTTTGTGTTCAGCTGACCTGTGGATGCTGTCGTGAGCCGCCTGTATCCCTGTGTCTAACTGCAGGACGGTCTTATAATCCACGTAGGCCTTTCTGTAGCGCTCCAGTGACTCATAGGCCATGGCTCGACGCAACAGAGGCTTCAAGGAATAGGGCTGCAGCTCCAAAGCCCTAAGAGGATCAGAGAGGAGAGGCGGAGACCGAGGGATCTGAACATGTGAATGAATATTTGACCGACAGGCTGTCGCAGCCTTTAGAGCAAAGAAACAAAAAGCAGGAAGCTGCTGGATCCAAAACTGCATCACTGTGGATGATCTACATGCTGTGTTCCACAGTTACAGAGAAAACAGTTACAATCAGGGTGTGGAAAAGCAGCTTGTCATTCAGTTTTCATGTAAATAATATTGAATTTAAATGAAACACAGCCCACGTGTCCCCAACTGGGTAATGTCAGCTTTTGAGTTTTGCAGGTTCATGACTTCCTCTAGTTTTGAGAAATGATTTTGTTCTAGTTCAGTATTCTTCACGGTCTTCTGTTAATGGTTTATTTAATATGAGCTTTTTTATTTGTCCCTATAGTTCTTTGCTTGCTTGTAGATGATTTAAGGTTTATTGGTTCCCTTTTGTTAATCCCACTGTGTCCCTCCAGTCTTGTCTCTGTCTCTTGTCTTTCACTGTTAACTTCACATGTTCGAGCCTTTGTCGGTATCTTATTTCCTGCTTTGTTTTGGTGGTCTTTTGTGCTTTGTATCTAATTCACATTCTCTTGTCTCATTATCCTTGATTTGTTCCTGCTGTGTCTCCCACTTTTGACTCTGTTAAAATAGTGAGTATAAGACAAAAAAGCACAAAAAGTCCCCCTTTAATAAGTTATTCATAAGTTTTCTTGGCTGATCTCTTTAGCCCAATCTCCATCTATGCATTTCTCTCTTTATAAGCTGGTACTGGTAAGAGTAGATGTTCCAATCAGGCTGTAATTGTTGCCACTTTGGGAAAATTAAAGTGGCAACAATTGTTTGTGGCATTCAGAGCCTTTTCAAACCAGCTATCTCTCAAATAAAATCACACATAAACTTAGCACTCCACAAGATGGTTACGACCATGACACCAGAACGGTTCTGGTTCTGGCCATCTTTTAAATACAGTCTGTGATCTGACAGTGTTTTGGGGTGTGATGTCAGATCTGTGGATTCATCTCTCAAACCTGGAAGTTATAACCAGTAATAAAACCGACACTAGTCACGTACTTGTTGCAGTCCTGTATGCAGTCTGTGCTGTTTCCCTCCTTCAGGTAACAGGCTGCTCTGTTGGAGTAGAGAATACACAGGTCCTCTGGACTATCAATGCCTGCAAGGGGACAACCATAATCACATTTCTGAAAGACCAGATTCATTTACGTCATCTTGTGATCTGAAATGCAGGTGTAAGGCCATGCTACACATCCATATTACCAGCAGTTCTTTAGACTTTGTGGCCTAAAGTGCTCGAGAGAGAAGCGAAATCAAGAGAAGTGAAGCAGTTCAATTGCAAGTGTCCAGAAACGCTGAAGGGGTGAAAGGCAGACAGATAAAAGGCTGTGTTAAGAGATCCCTCGGTAGAGTCATTTTCTCCACTGTCCTTTCCACTCTAGTGCAGTTTCATAACCGCTGGGAGAGCATCAGTCTTATGTACAGCTTCCACAACCCACAGCGCATCATCATTATCATACACTGTTCTCACCAGCTTTCTGATTGAAGTCTATGATTAATCAAGTCTAAACGTTTGGAATCTGGCTACAGTGCAAGTGCAGAAAAAGCCTTCACACTTGCCAGCTACAAGAGTAAAAGTCAGCTGAGTGCTCTCTGTGCAGCGTGGCATTGAGCCTCACGTAAAAGCCCCATGCATCAGCACATGACTTCCATCGACAGCAACTTGTCTTGTGCCAACACTCCACTGCAATCACAAATCACCGGTGCAGAGACGCCTTGTGTCTCTGCTTCATGCTAAAAAGTGAAGTGACCTGAAGTCATCCTGCAGGCTGACTGGAGAAACAGTGGTATAATGCATTCAAAACTGACACGGGATACGTTGGATTGTGGAACCAGGTGACACTGAGTCAACTTGTATGTGATACCCTTACCAGGGCTAAGTCACAGATGCTACGAGAGGGTGTCTCTCAGGCTCTGTGACACCCATCTGCTGTTTTTGGCGACTCTACACTGAGTCACAGAGGTGGAAAAGCTACTCCAAGGAATCCAAGGATGAAAATAAACAAGAAATAACTTTCTTCTAGCAAAATTACTGTTATTTTCTAAAACTATACATAGTTTAATCAATGAATCAAGAAATTAGCAGTTAGATAAAGCTCCTCTAACTATGCTATAGTATCGTGGCTATAATAAGATTTGTTTATCCCAGGATCACATGCCGTGTAAGAGAAAAGAAACCGCTCATGTCACCCCCCACCTGCTTCAGCACATCCCTCAATGGCCTGGGTGTACTTCTCCAAGGCGTCTCCAAACTGTCCGTGTTTGAAGAGATGGTTCCCTTCATTCTTGAGCCGGGCCAGGTGAGGAGGCAGGGCCCCGGCGGGAGCATCCAGGTAACTTGTGTCCACTGCAGGGCTGTCCTCCTTCTTCTCTTGCCCACCAGCAGGGCTGTTTTCTCTCTGAGTGCCATTGACCGCCCCCTTCTCTGGAGCCATGTGAGGCTTTCCCCCGCTGCTTCCACCCCCGCTTCGTGTCCCACTCCCTGCTGTGGCCTGATCCGCGCTCGCTGCCCCTCCTCCGCCGCCCGGAGGTTTCTCCTGCGCGTTCCCCATAGCTGCAATCCCTCTGCAGTGTGCTCAAACTCTGCCTCTACCTCTCTCAGAGCCGCAGCTACATCTGAGCCTGGATGGGGATTTCTGCTGGACACACCCCCGACATGAGGCGTCAGATGTGATGTCAGCGAGGGGGAGGGGGGAGTGCCACAGCGATGCAGTGCTGCAGTAGGACAGCTCTGAAGGGAGAGCCTCAGTTTAGACTTCAGAGCAGAGGAAACCTGGACCAGACACACACATGCGAGACACTTTGATGCTTTAATTCATCAAATTGTAAGAAAACAAAACCATTATAATTTCGATTATACATGATTTACGCTGTATTACTGGAGAAGAAGTAACTGACAGGCAACAGTTTGACACAGTGGAAAGATATAAATGTTTAATTACTCTTAGGATAATTGGAGTGAGCTGCAAATCTGATCAACAGCAAACAAACAGAATATTAATCATGTAAAATTACATTTTGTTGATGGAAAACCCAGTCCAGTAATGAAAACAATCATTGAATCCAGTCCTGTTTGTCACCTAAAGGGTAGTTCAGCAAAGTAATTACTTTGTTGATGAGAACACGTTGTTCGTAACTCTCTCAGCAGCATCTTAGCTGGAAGCAGCTCTCTGTCCAGCACCGGGAAATTAAATCAGGCTTATTTTCTATTGGTCAACATTTTGGCATGTAATTACATCAAATCACAGGTTCACACAAATGTTTTATTAGAATCTTTTAAAGATGGAAGTTTGAAATGAAATAGCTGCTAAACCCAAGTGCAAGTAATGATCCCAGTGAAGGCTTTGTTTGCTATTTCATTTGGTATCTCATCTTAATGAAACACCTCATTTTAGTTTTTTGTTATTATCTATTATTTGTTGTGTCTTATTTGTGTAATGTGTACAAAAAACAAAGACACTGCTGGAGTCTCCTTCAGCTGCCCAGCAGCCAGTAAGTCAGAAGAATCTGTCACAGATTTTCAGCATTTGTACAAATTAAACCAGTGAGATGCAGACGTGCTGGTATGAGGATTTTTGCACCTTTGAGTAGAGAGAGTGCAACAGTTTGAAATCTTTGTAGTAAGCCAAACTAAAAAGTTGCCATGCAGATATTAAGGGACTAAATGAACAAAAAAAATAGATTTAGATTTAAATCAACTTAAAAGCTAAACTTGGGGAAACAGTGTAATTTAAAGAAGTTAAAGCTATTATAGTGCTGCTTTAGATCAAAAATACACTCAATGGACACTTAAGCACACCTTGCTTGTACTGGGTTGGTCCCCCTTTTGCAATCAGAGTTACCTTAACTCTTTAATTCTTCTTCTATTGTGCAATTTTGGTGAGCCAGTATGTTTCCTGTTCATTGTGGACAGGAAACTGAGGGACCCAATGCGGTCTTCTGTAGCTGTAGCCGGTCTCCTTCAGGGTTTTACGTTGTGCATTCAGATACGCTCTTCCGAATACCTCGCTTGTAAGCAGTTGTCATTTGAGTTACTGTTGCCTTTTTCTTTCTTTTGTTTTTTTAATCGTCTCAAAACTCTGTCCAATCCTCTCCTGCGTCAATGATGCAATTTCACCTAGAGAACTGCCGCTCACTGGATATTTTTTCTCTTTGGGAGATGGCTGTGGGAAAATCCTGGTAGATCAGCCTGTCTGGTACCAACAACCATCCTACAGTCAAAGTCAATAAAAAGAAAACCTTTGAGGGTGAGGGGAAGAAAACATTGCAGTCTCATTTAATCTTTATTACTATGAAAAAGGCCAAAAAAACAGTTTGCATTACACAAAATCAGGTTACTTCCCCTGCTGCATTTTGTTATTCTGAAAGGCAGACTTCATTTCAGGGGTCGAAAAGCTGCAAACATCTCATAGCAACAGACCAATTACACGTGACTACAAGAATATAGAAAAGTCTACAAGAGCTGAAACACAAATTTTCCTGTCGTCATGGAGATGCTACTAATTAAATAAGCTCATCAGTTAGAAAAACTGGGAAAAAACAGTCACGACCAGTTAAAATAGTTATTATTTAATAAACCAAAACAAACTTTCATACATTTTTGACAAGCAAATGTATTGTTTAGACCGAGAATAAAATGAGTAGTTCACAAATCTGAAGCCAGGTCTATTTATTTACACGATCCCACACTACAAACAGTAAACAGAGTCAAAACTGCTCCTCTCCTCTTCTTCATCGGGCATCGAATACAACCACTGAAATCAGAGAGTCAAGGAAATCCACAGCAAACGTAGCAACCAATTCATAAAATATCAATCAAAATCAAAATATCTGAACACTCTTTAGCAAAAAGACTCACATCTGAAATAAACAAGTCAACTGGTCATTTTTAATGTTTTCACAAGTTGTCTTCATGCACATAAAGTCAAAAGGATACATCTCTTTGTTCTCTTCTTGTACATGATCCTGTAGCCACACTCTCTGCATCTGATCGGATCGCGGGCTTTGATTTCGTTCTCGGTGTGACATTCTGCAAGTGACGAGAGAAAACATGGTGTTATGTGTTCAAGTGCAGTTTGAGCAGAGCAGAGCAGCGGGCAACACCCCCTCACATAGTTTTTCTGCTGATGTTAATGACAGAGAAAGTTTGGACCTATGCAGCTACTGAGTCAGCAGAGTGTTGGTAACTTTTATTCACTTAGTTAGCGCATGCCTCTGAATTCAAAGAGGTGTGGCCCAACATTTAGTCCATAATGTGTAAGATGTATTCATTTCAGTTCATTCAGATTGTTATTGAGTTTTTACACCTTGCCACAAAACTTATTAGAACTAAAATCAGGGTGGTTCTTTTTCCAGATGCAAGATGACCAACATTACGTAATCATGGTGAAATAATTATTATTGGTTCCAAAATAGTAACATTGTATCAGACTGTAAAGGAGGTTTAATATTTCCCACTGTAAACATCTAGTGAGCCTAATGTGTATGTTATGTCCTCCAGATGTCTCCACCACAGTGGATTAAGTAGTAAAGACACTATTCAAACACAAGAACATCATGTAACTCTCAGTTAGTACTTGTGTTTTGCACCTGGAAGCACAAATACCCACAAGGTAAAAAAAAAAAAAATCATCATACATACATACAGAACAATACAATCAACTTATCCCAAGCTAACTATGATTAAAACAGAGATTAGAAAAGGAGTAGGGGTCATGAGGCTATAAAGGCACCTGAGATGTAATTTCAGTGAATGGAAATTCCACACATGCCAGGTATCACAGCTTTGAATGCACAGACCGGTTTACAATAGGCAAGTTTTGGGCTCCAAGTGTTAATTAGTACCAATACTGAACTCATATTTATAATTACAGACGGTAGTTATGCGAATTTTCATGTATTAGGTAAAACAGGACATGATATAGTGTGCTAGACGGTTTTCTCTAAAAACTAGTGTTGTAATACCTGGAAAAATACACTCTTAGCGATCTCTGAAGCATTAACTACGGATTAATCCTTAATTTATTAATGTCGGAGAGGCTAGTTATACACTCTAAATTGAGCTGTAGTTTATTATTTGTCAACTTATTATGAGAGAATTGTTACTATGAAGGAACACATTATGAACAATATGTAAGGTCTATGCGGTGTAATGTAAGAAAAACATCCAGAGGAGAAGCAGCCGTGATGGCAGTGATGAAAGGTTTGCATTAGAGCAGGTAAAATCGTACTGTTTGCATTACCAGCGGTGGCATTACTAAAGTAAACGTTGTAACATACCTCCACATATGTAGATCATAGGCTGCTGCTTGGGCGGCTGTAGATCTTTCTGCGTATCCATTTCTGATTCTTAACAAAAAAAATAGAGACAGAGAGATAACTGTTAAGAACATGCTAACAGAAACAGCATGGTACTGCCCGAAACAGACTAAAACAACCCAACCGGTATTTAGAGCAAACAACAAATATCTTTAAAGTATCTAAAAACGCTGCATAAACCTAACAGATACGGAGTACACAGGATGGAAAGATAATAACAAGGTTTCTCACCGTTTAAACACGTTAGCTGTTAGCTGTTTACCTCTCTTTTCATACTCCACAAGGCTCCTGCCTGCACATGCGTAGAACAGTCGTGCACCTCACAGCAAAGTCGCTTGTGATTGGTCGGACGATGTCTTTGAAAGAGACCAGAGAAAGCAATTGTATTTTTGTGGACAGCTATATTATCAGTAACATTTTATTCACAAGTTTCAGTTGTTTAATTGATACAAATTATTCAATGTTTCTAAGGAGAGTATTTTAAGCCGTTTTGTTTGTACTCCGCTCCAGCAGGGGGCGCTGCGTTGAGGCCGTAACACCGTCATCTGACGATCCCTCAGCTGGCGCTGCTTTAGTTTTTGACAACAACGATTCAGTCGACAATGTTCTTGTCCTGACTGCTGGTCCCAAAAGTGCCACGAGTCCCTATTAGTGTGTTTTCTTTTTAGTTTTGAAGTCGTACATCATGGAGACGTCTGCGCCCAAAAGGTTTGTGTTAATTTGACTACGCTAAAAATGCTATTATTAACGAGCTAGCCGAACAGCTAACGCTCGGTGGATGTCGCCGAGCTAGCTGATGCTAAGCTAACTTATCGTTGCCAGTCTTCTCTCAAACTTTCAGTTCTGTTCACGAATGTACAGATCGTTCCTCATACAGAGACGCTCTTTCCTGAGCCCTCAATTGAGTTTCTAATAGATTTGGCTAATGATGTGGTCGTTTTGTGTTCCCAAGTCTCTGTAAGAGTGTTTTGTTCAGTGGTTAGATTTGCACTTGAAATATCATTCAATCGCATGAATGATCGCACTGAATCAGCCTCTAGCTTCCCGAGTGTCCTGCAAAAATTGAATTACTGTGTCTTTTTATGTCTAATATTGTTGCCTGTATTTGTAAACAGGCTTTAGTTATTAGGCTTTATGAAGGGGTTAGACATATATATATATATATATATAAGACGTGATCTCTCTTTATGAGTCTGCGTTATTGTTATTGACTTTCTTGGACACGTAAAATGTCCTTGTAAAAGTTAAAGGTCCTCCATGTTTTGGCTTGCCTCTTTGCGTGATCTCTATTGAAAAAAAAAATACATTTTGAATGTCAGTAAAACTTTTTATCCAAATAAATGAAAGATATATAAAAGCCACTTTGCCAAATACTGATTGCAGCTTCTACTGCTTGCTCAGAGTGACTTGAAATCCTTTATAAGAGATATATGCTTGATAGATCACAGGCCATCATTTAGAACTGTTTAAATGTCGAACACGGTATTTTTTGGCACGATTCCTGAAGACAAACCAGTATTACACGTTACTGATTACTTAGTTGGTTTCTGTTCTGTGGTGGTTCATGAGTTCACAGGCTCAAAAAAAGACAATGCAAGTTAATTTTACTGAATAGCTTTTTAACCACAAGGCGACAGATCTGAAGTCTTTGTATGATTGCTGTACTATTTTTAAATTATGAGATCACACATGTTCAGATGTGCAGATGAGAAATATTTATTTATTCCATTCCATGAGCAACCCTTTTGTTACAACACTATAAAGGATGAATAATAACAATAATAATAATAATAAAGTAATATTATTAAACATTTAGGTTGACAGAGTTTGGTAGGAAAGATTTCCTATTTAAGCTATGTGTGTGTGTAGTTAACATAATCAGAGATACTAACTAGCAATAAAAACATTTTATCTTAAATAACATGATTATAATAGAATAGTAAAATATTTTTTTAAATGAATGATAACAAAATCAAAAGAAATTAGAACTGCTTTGGAAATCATTGACAAAAATAAAATTAAGTGTGCGTAATATAAAGACAATACAAATATAAAGTAAATAGTGCTTAAAAGTTTACTGTAAGATTCATAAATGTACAATGAAATTAAAGAATGAGTCTATTCAGTTATAAAACACTATGTGAAATTCAGACTGAATAAGTTTTTTTTATTTTGGATTCAAGAAAAAACGGCAATGTTTTCAGCTCTTCTCACCTTCAGTAAAAGGCTTCTCTGAAAGACTTTGAGGACACCATACTTGAACGTTTCTGTTCTTCTTAGTGGAAATTAACAGGAACAGCAGGATGTGAGGGCCTTTACAGCTTCATATAGTGCAAACCTTTCTAAGAGGTAGTATAGAAATACCCTTTTAAAGGAAAAACACACACAATCTGTTTGTTGTCTTAGTCAGAGCTCATGTAGGATAATTTTTAAATGACTGAATCATTGATTCATTGTGTTTGATTTATTCACTAGAGCCAGACTGAGGAACCTTATTGAAGCTTGCGTCACTTGGCGTTGCTCAGGGGGAAACAACCTCCTTTAGTCTCGTATTGCACGTGATAATATTTTTGATCAAGTCAGAAAATAGTGAACAGTGCATGCTGGGTTGTGTTTTCACTTTCACAATAACTTATTTTGTCGATCACTTTGAACTTAACTAATAATGACTTATTCCTGTTGTTTGGCTGCGGTGCTGATTTTTATTTTTTTTTATCTGTGAAGAAGTATTACCTCATATTCTGGTGTTTGAAAGCACCGATACACAAGCCTAAAAATATCTTTAAATGACAGCAAACAGAAATAATAACAGGTTGCAGTCTCAGTGTGTTTGACATTTATGTCCAGACTAAAAATCACCCACAGCTGTTCATTTACAGATGCTGAAACGATGCCGTGTCTCCTGTTTTGTAATGTTTAGATTTGCCTTTTCCACTTATCATTGCTTTCACTTTTATATTGCTGTCTTATTCCCTTTTTACAGTAAGCTGAAAAAGCTGAGTGAAGATAGTTTGACGAAACAGCCAGAGGAAGTGTTTGATGTTCTCGAGAAACTCGGTGAAGGGTAAGAAGTCTTAACTTCCATTTTTACAGCTGACCATTGCGTAATAAATCGTTTTTTAAGTGCTGTCAGTTGTAATAAAGCACTGCAGCCATACATGTGACTTTAAGCTTTGTGTGTGTTTTTAGTTCCTATGGCAGCGTGTTTAAAGCCATTCATAAGGAGTCCGGCCAGGTGGTGGCAATCAAGCAGGTGCCTGTGGAGTCAGATCTGCAGGAAATCATCAAAGAGATCTCCATCATGCAGCAGTGTGACAGGTGGGACAGCAGTATGTCTCATACCATACGCCCATTTTTGCCCTTGAAAGCAAGGTTTTTCCTCAATATAAAAAATGTGGCATCCAGTAAAGTGGTTTGAGAGAAAATCATTGTTTATTTGCAGACTCAGAATACATTTTTGCTTATCATCTGCCCTAAATAACAGGGAATTGCACAGTTGTTCTGTTTAATTAGATAAGAGCCTGTTAGTGTTAACTGTATGGAGACCAGTTGCACTTAGCCAGCCTTCTCTCAAAGATCCATTCTGAGCCAGGAAAAGCCTCAAAAGACATTTTACAGAGATAATAAAGAAGGAAGTATGACATCATCATCATAGCCCATGTAGCTCTCTCGTGTCTGGATCCATGAGATTTTTTTTCTCACTTCTGCTCTGTATCTTCTCCTTTGATAACCACTCCATGTTGCGTTTCCTCCCCAGCCCCTATGTGGTGAAATACTATGGCAGCTACTTCAAGAACACAGACCTGTGGATTGTGATGGAGTACTGCGGCGCTGGCTCTGTCTCTGACATCATTAGACTGCGCAACAAGACGGTGGGTGTCTACGCTGAGCCGCAGCGACGTGTGCAACTGCGCTAAAACTTTATTTAAAAGTGCCTTTGACCTGTTGTCAGTAACGACTGCAATGGTGGCTTTAATTCACTAGTTTTTGTGTCAGGAAGAAAATATTTTTTGATAAAGTTTCAATTCAAAGTGCAGTATTTATTGCGACTTAAAAGTGAAAAGATCTCCAGGTTGACCTTGTCTTTAACTGAACTCAGCGAACTAATGATTTAAAAAAAAACTACAGACAAGTGCAGCAGTTAATGGTCTGTTTGTTCATGTTTGGTTTTTAATCTTCAATCTCTCAGCTGACAGAAGATGAAATTGCAACCATCCTTAAGTCGACACTGAAGGGACTCGAGTATCTTCACTTCATGAGGAAGATCCATCGGGACATCAAAGCAGGAAACATCCTTCTTAACACAGAGGGACACGCCAAACTGGCAGACTTTGGAGTTGCTGGACAGCTGACGGTAAAATTGCAGCATATGTCAGTAGTGATAAGATGAAGTAATGTCTGCCAGCATGATACTGTTTGTAATTTGCTTCTGAGGAGTTCTCGCTTGGTCCTGTCATGCTCTAAAAGTCTGGGGTAATATATATTCCCACTCTGTAGGACACCATGGCAAAGAGAAACACTGTGATCGGTACTCCATTCTGGATGGCACCCGAGGTAATTCAGGAGATCGGCTACAACTGTGTAGCTGACATCTGGTCCCTGGGCATCACATCCATAGAGATGGCAGAGGGTAAACCTCCTTATGCAGACATTCATCCAATGAGAGTGAGTGGAAACATTTCTTCTTGTTTTAAATGTGTTGTGAAAAACTTTTATCCTCTTTTTTAATCCACCATAATCCTGTTATCGTGTTTCTGCAGGCAATCTTTATGATCCCAACCAACCCTCCTCCAACATTCAGGAAGCCGGAGCTCTGGTCAGACGAGTTTACAGACTTTGTCAAGAAGTGTTTAGTGAAGAACCCGGAGCAGAGAGCGACGGCCACACAGCTGCTACAGGTAAGAAGATGACCTCGCCACCACATACATGGATTACTACTATTATTATGTTATTTGAACAGGGAAAGACACTAAGTTGCTCTTAGTGTCCTTCCCTGTTCAAATAACTGATACAAGATGAAAGCAAACGTATAAAATAGAGAGCAAATAGTCTTCCCCAGATACCCTGGAGATTTGTAAATATGGAAAATTTAATGCCGCCTCAGGCACATAGAAACATCAGAGGGTGTAACACATGATGCTGGGTGGATATACTCGTATGGAAATACATTTGCATGTAAAATATAGTTCATATAACTTTTATCTTTTTGGTCTTGTGAATCTCCAGCATCCATTCATCAGCCAGGCCAAGCCAGTTACGATCCTGAGAGACCTGATTACTGAAGCCATGGAGATGAAAGCCAAGAGGCAGCAGGAGCAGCAGAGAGAGCTGGAAGAGGAGGATGACAACTCGGTGCGTGTGCTGATTTATTCACAGAAAGGTCTGGGGTGAAGAAACCTCAGATGTAATGCTGCATGTCTTAACTCTGTTCTTTATTCCATCCAGGAGGAAGAGACTGAGGTGGATTCTCACACTATGGTTAAGTCGGGCTCAGAGGGCGCCGGAACCATGCGCGCCACCAGCACTATGAGCGACGGGGCGCAGACAATGATTGAGCACGGCAGCACTATGCTTGAGTCAGACCTTGGCACTATGGTCATCAACAGTGACGATGAAGACGAGGAGGAAGACCAGGGATCGATGAGAAGTGAGCGGATATGATGTCTGCCTGAATGAGACGGTCTCCAAAATATTCTGTCCAGAAAGTTTATTTTGTTACCTTCGAGTTTAACCCATTTCCTCCTCCACAGGACATGCCACCCCCCAGCAGCCGATTCGTCCTTCCTTCATGGATTACTTCGACAAGCAGGACAACAAGGCGGCCCAGCAGCAGGAGAGCTACAACCACAACCAGGCACAGGAGCAGCAAGGCTACCATATCCAGTCCAAAAACGTCTTCCCTGACAACTGGAAGGTGCCTCAGGACGGAGACTTTGACTTTGTGAGTGTCATCCGTGACTCTGTTGTAGTGTTATTCATTGTGGAAATGTTTACAGCAGCAAAACAGAAGCAGCTCTGAGTGTTGTGACTCATTTTTTCCGTCTGTTGTTTGTCTGTGTTGCCTCTCAGTTGAAGAACCTGGACTTTGAGGAGCTGCAGTTACGCCTGACTGCCTTGGATCCCATGATGGAGCGGGAGATTGAGGAGCTCAGGCAGCGCTACACTGCCAAAAGGCAGCCCATCCTGGATGCAATGGATGCCAAGAAGAGACGACAACAGAACTTCTAAATGCCCCTTCTGACCCTGTCCTCCTCTAATCTGGCTTTCCCTAAGCCACGGTAAACAACAAATTCTGTCCAGTGATTTCGGGGGAACCAAAACAATCTCATTGGATGCCCTCTGCTGTTCTGGCTGCCTGTTAGCTGACCTCTAAGTGAAGTAAGATGCTTCCTTTACTGGATGATGTCTGTTTGGTTCTGGGAATCCACACCCTTCCAAAAAAAGAAAAAGGAGAACCAAGCTGTGGCTGTAACACATCTGAGAGTCACACAAAGAATTTCCTCTTTAATCAGCAAAAAGCCTTTTCTTCAGCAGGAGCAGCGAGCGAGGTCAATGGCATTACCCCCACCCCCCACCTCCCCGAGACTTTTTACCTTCACTGTAAATAAAACATAGAGCCTAGTTTGGAAATACCTGCGACAAAAGCTGTGGAGGTTCATCCATGACCAAAGACAATCGAGGTGATGTTGATGATGAAGTTGCCTTAAAATATTTGAAACCTGATTTTTCAACATAAGCAATGTAGTAAAACGACCGAGTCTTTGGATGGTCACGTTTGTTTCCTCAGCTGGAGAAGAGTTGGACGAGAGACTATTGAAAGCTTAGAAAAATCCAGTGAATGTCAAAGAACAGATTGCGCATGTTTTCAGCTATTTTGTGGACCAGCTTCTCTTTAGTCTGCATCATCTTTTATTTAAATTAGGTGTTTTTCAGGTATGACGTTCTGGGTTTCCTTATACACCCAGTGCACAGTCTATAGTGGCAGATCTGAAGCATCTTTTAGTGCCTCGTAAACACACACGACACTCCCTCACTGCTCTTCATCCTCAACACCCTGAAACGTTAAACAAACGTAATTTCCAAATAGGGGGAAAAGGTGAAAGTCATTCCTAAACACTGCACAGCATTCTTTAAATGTTTAAGTTTAGATAACTTTGATTTCTTTTGATTGTTCCACTTTGACTGATTGACTTGAGGTAGCATTAAGAGAGCTGAGTGACAAGGCCAGACCCTGAATTATTGCATAAATGGTTTAATTGCTGTTTTCCACTTTAGGAAAAACACATCAGGTTGAGAAAAAAGACTCGAAAGACGTAACGGTTGTACTTAAAACCAGAGCCGCTACATCAGCCACACACGTGATTTCTAATTGTTCTCTTTATTTTTAGATGATAATTTTTCCTCCATTGGTTCAAGTTTTCTTTTCTTTTTTTCGTTTTTTTACCCTGCAGCTTTTTTCAGCTATCAGTGAGAGTGCTTTCTGTTTCCTGATATTTGAAGGGGAGAAAAAGACAAAAAATGTGCTTTGTGGGTTTTGGGACACAAGCTTTGGCTTCTTTTATGTGAACATGAAGGCTTTTTCCCCTGTATTTTAAATAAGTGAGGAATGTTTTCCTTTCTTATCATAAATGAAGTCAGCTGTAAAATTTCCCACACGCTGCATATGCTTGTTGGACCACTTTAGTAACCAAATTCAAAGGAATTTAATCAAAAAATGAAAAGAAGGAAAGAATTTGTAGTTTTTACTCCCAAAAATCATTAAGCTTGTTGAATGGTTACTACATTTTTTGTTTTTGTCTATGTATCTGGCTTCTGGCTCTAATTCAGCTCTTCTGCTAAAGTATGTGTTACTTTTTAAGCGCTAATAATGACCCTGTGAATGAATGAATTCATCCTGTCTTAATGTTAAAAACGTGCAGTGAATCTGCTGGTTGCTGTTACTTATGAATGTGTTTTGTAGGTGAAGCAGATGGAAACCCTTCATGAATTAAGCCTGCAGTTCACACAAGCATTCACTTTATTTATTAACCGCTCTGCTTTCTTTTCTTTTCGTGACACTGGTTTAAATATTGTGGCTGATTTGGCTGTTAATATTTTGGCCCTTGGTCATGTAAATGTGGTTGGACTATGCATGTTTATACTTAATTTTGCTCTGTAGTAGAATGCTGTTGTATAAGGAAAGTGATGTTTAAGAAGAAAATGTGGGCTTCCTTTAATTTTGCTTTAATTAAAAACTATTGAACACTGAAAAGTCCAATAGTTTGTTTTGGGTTTTTTTATGATTTTGTCTTGTTTCTTTAGAACTGGCTGTAATATGTACAGTTACCTAAAGCCACCTTTTGCTATATCATTATGATTTCTGTCTTCATTTACTTCACTTATTCGGTTTATGTAAAGATTGAAGGGTGTAGAGTGGAATGTAAGCATTTAATTTATTATGTTCTGTTTGTAATACTTTAATAAAGTTTCAAAAATGTTGAAAAAGTAATAAAAGTCACTTATAGTTAACCAGAGCTGGCTTTGGTCTAATCTTTAGATGTGGATGGATTAATACCAACATGACATGATTAGATACTCTGATTTCATTATGTAGACTTGTGTTACTTTTTTTGGAATTGAAAAAAAAAAAATACAACAAACACACACTATGAAAAGTGCATGAAAGTTTTTGTGTTGACGGTCACATCTGCTTTATTCTTAGCCTCTAGCACAGAGAGACAGGTACATTTACATTCCTGGATGCCAAAAAATATGAAAAAAATTCCCATGAAAAGCTGAATAGTATGTTTTGTGTTAACTAATGTGGAAAATAAAAATCGCTGTGATTTAGTGGTGAATTAAATCTGATTAATTGCATAAATCATGACCCACTGGCTCTCGTTATCGGTTAAAAATATCGACCCTGTATTTACTTGGTTTCGGATCGATATCAAAACTTCGGGCAATACCGCTGATCTTTGCCTTCATAAAGGCAGCTTTGACGCCCTTCACCGTAACTCTTCTGCCAAGGGCGCATTTCATTTTATATTTAACGCCTTTTTATAGCTATAAGCGCGCCTGCTGCTCCTCTATTCAGTGCGGTACGGTAGACTTTACGGAAACAGTGTTCCTTCTTTTTCTGCAGCTTTTCTTGCACAGTTGCATTAATCACAGCTCTTCGGAAAGGTTGGCAGCAAGTTGAAGAAATCTGGAAAGCATGTCTGCGCTCAACAGAAGGATCGTTAACACTGCGTCGGCCCCGTCTGCCATCGGCCCATACAGGTGAGACGCGGGAGCACAAGGACAGTCCGATGTTTGATCAGGGCCTGGTCTTACAGTTCAGTGAACTCACAGAGAGAACCAAAGTTAAAAGTTTCTCAGTGGGGCAAAGGGGCCCCAGCATAGCAGGAAACCGAGTAAGGTCGACAAGCAGCTGGCTTATAATGGCTTCAATTCGTCGCCAAATCATCTACACACCAAAAGCTCCTGTGAGGCAGGGAATATACAGGTAAGGTGTCCCGAAGAAAGTGCTGGGACTTATTCTAAATCCATCATAACTCGATCAAAGTTCACGTGGTTTATCATTTATTTGGTGGATGTCACTCCTGTCAACCAGCAACAGGAAACTGAGGCTCTAGTTTACACAGGCTCACCAAACCGGACAGAAGATTGGAAAAATGTATCCTGGTCTTGATTTATGCTTTAACATTCGATCAAAATTCGGCAAAAGGGAAGGGGAAAAAGAGGGGAAGGGAAAAGGGGAAAAAAGAAAAAAAAACTATGTCAATGTAAATGAGATATATACTTTGTTGCCTGATTTGAATAAAGAAAGGGGAAAAAAATTCGGCAAAAACAACATGAAAGTGTGGAAAGTGGAAGTGCCTTGTATCGGTGATTCAGCCTGGTGGTGCAATGGTGTGAGGAAATATTTTCTTGGAACTGTTGGCCTTTTGTTTCACTTTCTCCTGCTGAAACATCATCCTGAGAAAGAAACGTGTGTGTGTGTGTCGTCCTCAGCCAGGCGGTGATCGTGGACAGAACCATGTACATCTCCGGTCAGCTGGGGATGGACGTCGCCTCCGGGAAGCTGGTAGATGGAGGAGTGCAGGCTCAGGCCAAACAGGTGAAACTCACTTCTGCCAGTGTTTAGATCAGCTGCAGCAGAAGTTGCATCCACAACAGATTCCTAAAATACGAACAAATCTTTCCCATCGTGTCCTTCAGGCACTCATCAATATTGGGGAGATCCTTAAAGCTGCCGGCTGCGACTACAGCAACGGTGAGAAACTGAGCTTCTCCTCGTATGTTTCACATGTTCTGAAATTTAAACACGAGCTTTCAGAGCACATAAACCCTTTCATTTCAGTGGTGAAGACTACTGTGTTACTCGCAGATATAAATGACTTCAACAACGTCAATGAGGTCTACAAGACATGTAAGCCAGCACTATATTGTTCCTTTCATTTTGACCACACTAGCAGGGAAAATGACAGTGTGACAAGTTTAGGAGTCACCTGACCGATGCGCTCACTTAGCTTTTTCTCTGCTGCTCGACAGCAGCCTTCTACTCACATCCTCCTCGCCGATCATAACAGTCAGGTGTAATGGAAGCTCCAGCACCCAGAGAGTTGTAAATAGACACCACAGTGCAGGCACACAACTGTAACCCAACCTTTCCCAGCAGGCAGTGCTGCACTAGGCATTTACTCCCATCTTTCTCCCTCGCACTGCCACCGAAACCACAGGCAGGTTACTTTCCCTGACCGTGGTGAAAGGAAGGAAGGAAGGAAGATGTTTCATTAAAACTCTGTTTTGATCCTTTAAACTCAGCCTTTACTGGTTTATAAAAATTGGTTTAAAACTTAAGTTAAGGCAAAAATGTGCCTTTCCAGGTTGTCTGTGTGTGTTACCATCCTCAGCCGCTGCTATACACCAGACAAAGGAACTTTCTACCCAGCAGCTGCAAAGCACCTGTGCTTGTTGTTTTATTGCTTATCTATAATACATGGGTAAATAATCTAACCACTCATAAATAAAGCCTGTCATATTATTAGAAGCTGAAATGAACCATTCAAATTGAGATTCATAGATGGGTTCACTGATGGAAGTGAATAACTTCACCGTGCTTCTGCAAATGCATGCAAATCTGACGAAAATGTTTCCCTCCCCAGTTTTCAGCAGTAAGTTTCCTGCCAGAGCTGCCTACCAAGTCGCTGCTCTCCCCAGAGTGAGTGTTAACCACAGCTTTACACGCCTTTAGCACTGTATTACATTATGTCACACCCACTTTAAAGTCACTGCTACTGTGCACATATGGATGATGTCATGAATTTCATTTTTATGCTGATTGGAAACGGAAAGGTTGAAAAAGGAGGGATTTGCGTTTTATTTTAAACCACAAATTAAACTATTAATCATGTTTTCCGGACTTAATTTGCTTACACTGTCACACAGCGGAGACTCTGCTGCTATTTGGACAAATGAGTAAATGTAGTGTAAATGCTGTTTTTGGCCAAATTCAAGTTATTGCTGCTAAAGTTGGATCTACAAGCTACAGAATTATGGGGATCACTTGGTTTTTCATGGGACTGCAGAGATGTGTATAAAAGCTTTTTGCAGGGGTTTTTGAATGACTGTGTGCGTGTGTTCATTTTTGGACACTATTATAATTTAATATTTCGCCTCTGCAGTCATTTCTTCAACCTGCGTCTCCTCCTTTTCTCCTCAGGGTGGGCTGGTGGAAATTGAGGCGATCGCTGTTCTCGGTCCTCTCTCCGACTCCTGACTACCCGGCTGCATTACTAACAAGCTGTAGCGCCACCAATTATTATCATTATAGGTTCACTGTGGAAGCTTGATTGTATTTCCAGAGAACACCTGAGGAGCCACGAATTTCACCAAAGTCTTTTTCAGTCTTTCAAGATTTAAATTCAGAGCAACATTGAGTTGTTAACACTTCACAGCCTGCTCGTTAAACAGACAGTAGGGATCCAGTAGGAGTGGACACAACATCAAGCCTCTTGGCTTCTGGTTTGATAACTTCACTCATTAAAAAAAAGAAAAATGCTGTAACACATCAGTGTGACATGTTTGCTTTCATCCTGCATCAAATTAAAACACAGAGAATA